GACATATCGACCAATCGATCGCCGTCGCGCGCATAGATCTCAAAGCGCCCCGCGCCAGATTATAAAATAGCGAACCGCCGTCAGAACGGCCGTAGTTATAAGGATAGTTATAAGTTAGCGATAAGTTAATTGTAAGTAGTTGATGTAATGCTAAGCGTTAAAATATAATTCGGTAGTTAAGATTTAAAACCGACTCTCTCTCTTTTCGAGACACCCACCGCCGGACCCTAGAATTCCCGCAGCTATCCGTTGCACAGCAACTAACTATTCGAACGGTCGCAGTGTTAAAATAACTAAACTTCACCAAAACTCTCTTTTCTTTTCTTGTCTTGTATCGCCATCTATCGACATCATTAGAAACTATATTTTATGTTGGCAAGCTGCAATATGACCGCTCTAGCTCTGTGTTCTAGTTCTAGACACGATTCCGTCACGTTCATGTCGGTCATACAATAAATAGTTGATATTACTTTGTCGTTCGAGTTTTATTACCGAAACCCATTTTACCACCTCAACTATACCATATGTAATGTGTAATGGCATCAATGTTCGGTTGTGAGATATGAAGGATGTACTAAAAAGTATTCGATCGTTAATTATTTCATGTAGTCTCATTAATTTGAAAAACGGCTTATATATGTGTTACGTCCCGCGTTTTATTTTTGGCGTGGGGACGTCAGAGATCTTCTGACAAGAAGAGGAAAGGAAAGAAAAGGAGGAGAGGAATTCGGAATTTAGTGTGTGCGTGTGGGTATGTGAATGAGTGTGTGTCAGTGTATTTTGTATGACAAGTTTATTTGTAGAATGAGTACATGAAGGTTGTGAGCCACGAGGGGTGGAAGTTACAGTTCAGGCATACTTCGAGGTATCCTTGGAGCGTCCACCCTTGGGAGGACGATTTTTATCCGTCGCCTGAGGGGCTCCACGGCGACTATCCGGGGGCGAGCAGCAGGTGCTCTGGGAGCGGGGAGCCGCGTGGGACAAGGGGGTGGTGGAGGTGCTGAGACTGCAGCCAAGGGTGCCCGCGCGAGAGGGGTGACAGACGGTCGGGGCCTCCACACTCGCTGGGTGCAGGCCTCAGGTACGGGTGGAGGGTGCTGGAGAGCTGGAGCCTTCCGGAATGGAGGAGGGGGTGGGAGTACAGGGGGGCCTTGGCCCTGTGTGGAGGCTGGACGGAGGGGCGGGGGAGGCGCGGATGTCGAGAGCGCCGGAGGGTTCCGTGCAGGTGGGGGGCACGGGAGCACCGGAGGACGCCCCGGTGCAGGGAGCCTAATAGCGCGGGTCTCGAAGACGCGCGGGTCGAATTGCTGGATTCTATGGTGCGCCCTTACGAGACGGCGCAACTGGCGCTGCCGCCCGGAGCGGCGGGACCGGCCCATTATCGGGCTTCCTGCGGAAGGCACTCATGGTTAAATTTGTTTACTTGCACAAGTGGGAAGGTGTGAGTTAATTAGTAGGGAGGAGAGGTAAACGGTGTCCTGCTCTGGCACACACGGAGTTGTAAGAGCTGCGCAATATTCCTCCTCCCGTTTGCTTTACTTGTGGGTGGAAAGCATTGCTTTTTTTGGGAGTACTCAGTAGCGTGCCTTTAATCACTGGGATTCATTTGCGTTGCTATCATCATTGTACTCCATTGCAACGCTATATCCACTTTAATTACCTTATAACTACCGCAAAAACAAGGATACTTGAGTGTTTTGTTAACAGAATTAATAACAAACTAAAGAAAGAAAGAAAGAAAGATGAAAAAGCGAGAGGAAAAAAAACAAAATACTACTAGGGAACAAGATCGTCCCTGTCCGCTATAACGGATCTTATACAAAAAAAGAAAAGGAACGTGATAATTGACATATAATATGTCGGGGCTGTCGTGGCCCCATTTACTTGTTTGCATGCCTTACTGGCTCAAAGCTTGGGTAAACCTTCGGAAAACCCACGCATATGAAATAAGGGATAACAACACTCAATTCCTATGTATTTTTGTGTTCTGAACATGAATATGTAACTTAGACATGGCGGTCGGAACAAGAAACCCATGAAAACCATGAAAAATCCATAAAAATTATGGTTTTTAACATTTATCCTACCAAATATCAAAAATTTTGAAAATGTTTTAAATAAAAATTGTAGATCTCTTCGAAATATGCATTTTATGTCTTATTCATTTTTACTGTACGAGTGACAGTTTTCGAGAAAAAGGATGGACTTCTATCTGTCCTCCAAATCTAAACATGTATTATTTTGCAGTACATGTACGCAAAAGGAACAGAAAAACGCAAAAAGGCCAGCAAAAATCAACGTTAGCTGTATATTTTTGCTACAGTGTGTTATATCTTAACGAAGTGGAGCCCCCCGAAGGGGGGGGGCGGAACATACTGTCTCCACGCATGTACTTCCGCCGTTGTACTGTTCCACATGGGTTTGCAACTTTCCACGTGAAGCGAGATCCACTCCACACCTCTGACATAGGGTGGGTAGGGTTATTTTTAACGAGGTGAAGCCCCCCCGAAGGGGGGGCGGAACATACTGTCTCCACGCATACATTTTTCTACCCGCATATAAGTCACTCCCCTCCACCAAATGTAGATGGAAAAATGTATGCGTGAAGTATGTTCCGTTCCCCCGTTTCCCTTCGGGGGGGCTCCACTTCGTTAAAAATAACCCTACCCATCCTATGTCAGAGATGTGGAGTGGATTTCGCTTCACGTGGAAAGTTGCAAACCCATGTGGAACAGTACAACGGCGGAAGTACATGCGTGGAGACAGTACGTTCCGCCCCCCCCCCCCTTCGAGGGGGCTCCACTTTGTTAAGATATACCCAGTCAGAATTGACTCGTAGATCGATGTCGAAACGACGTCGAATCGACGTCAATATGACGGTTTCGATGTCGATATGACGTCGTTTCGATGTCGACCGACGAGTCATTTCTAACTGGGTAACCTGACCCAAACTATGTACGAAGTGTGGAGTGGATCTCGCTTCATGTGAAAAGTAGCAAATCCATATGGAATCGTATATGTACTACAAAGCACATGCTTAGATGAGAGGACAGATATAAGATTTAGAATCCATCATTTTTCTCGAAAACTATCACTCGTACAGTAAATATGAATAGAACATAAAATGTATATTTTAAAGAGATCTATAACTTTTATTTAAAACATTTTTCAAAATTTTTTATATTTGGTGGGATAAATGTTAAAAACCATCATTTTTATGGGTTTTTCATGGTTTTCATGGGTTTCTTGTTCCGACCGCCATGTTTAAGTTACATATTCATGTTCAGAACACAAAAATACATAGGAATTGAGTGTTGTTATCCCGTATTTCATATGCGTGGGTGTTTGGGAAATTTCCTCACTTTCGAATCTCGTCATGAGATCGAGAGATCGCGAAATCTCCGTGAGCGCTGCGAGTGGATCGGGGAGTGAGAAAGGACGTGCAACGTGGCGAGAATGACTACTATTCCGTTTCTTAAAAATGAGTCGACTGTTTAATCTTATGTACACTATATACAATTGAGAGTTACTTGGTGTAGAATGTGGGTGAGCGAGTCCGTCGAGCTCTCTTGTTCGCACAAGACCGTCGGGGGTGTGCCGCCCGTTGAGCCGGTGGCCGGCTACAAGCGAGCGTGCACGTACAAAGTGAGAGGCCTTTGCGCAGAACACCGATGCACTCGATTTGAGCACTTAACTAATGAGTGTCCCTGAGTGAGCACTAATTGTCAATGTGAGCTAACCCGTGAGCGCGAGCGCGATACTTTTCGTCAGCCGATGCGAACTTTACCACAGCTTACAACGACGACTTTCTCACGACGACTGATGCTCTCTGAGCTTGCGCGCAAGCCCGGGAGCCGATTCCACGTGCCCGTCACGCGCTTGTTACACGGTCGTGCGGTCGCGCACGCGGTCCCACCGGGCCTTACGAATCACCGTGAGATGGCGAGAGCAGTACAAATGAGATACCTGGAGGAATCTCAAACATTTCCGCCCGCCATCAGCAATGAGGTTGATGATGAGTCCACTCCTATGGTTGTTGAGCTTGGTCTTGTTGAGCTTGGTCTTGTTGAGCTTGGTCTTGGTGAGCAATGGGCAATGGTACCAGCATAATCAATGCCAGTGTGGAAATGCACGTGAGGGTGTGGCCCGAGGCAGAGGTAGTTGGCCCATCAGTTGATATGCACGAATCCCCCTTTGTCGAGCACACACCACACACCGCAATATCCAACATGATTGTCTGATGTGCGCCAAAGTGAGTGTGTTTTGATCCACATGAGAGTCACTTGAGAGTCCGTCCATGAATATGTTGCGTTAATGTCCATCTTGAGTGTGACATGGACATTTGACCAATTTTGAGAGAAGTTTTGGCGCCTTTGAATCACTGCTGGTGTTAGACCAGTGTGAAATTGAGGGCCTGGCCAGGCCTGTGAGATCCTTTCTGCTGTTGAGCCACCGTGAGCCAACTTGAGATGGTGACGGTTCATCCCAGGTGATCTTGTAGAGCCAGAGTTCTTGAAGAAGCATCTTGGCTCTTATCACGAATGGTGAGACAAACCAGGTGGATTCGATATCTGTGCCACTTCAGATAGTACACGTCGCTTAGTGAGCTAGTCTTGGTGAGATATTCCTTATCCTTGTGGAGTCGTCTGAGAAGTCGCGGGAGCGGATACTTGGTGAGCAGTCACCCCTTTCATCGCAGATTTAGATGAGCTGGGTGTGACTCCCAATGAGTTGCCCGAGTGAGATGGGGTGGCCTCCACCCTCTCCAATGCTCGCGCCCTGGCATTGAGAAAGGCCTCAAGTTGCGTAAAGCGCGGATACTCGTGAGATGATCCAAGCGAGGTTTCCCAAGCCACTCTGGTGTTTCTGTCCAGGAAGCGTGACACGTGATGGGCTAAAAGGCAATCCCACATGTGCTTCGCCATACCGAGTGATTTTAGAGCTCTGTCCACCTCGGACACTGTTGTGACCAGCTGGATGAGCGATGCGGCATTCTTGGGTGAGGCAGGCGTAAGGTTGAAGAGACTGTCAAAGTGAGCTTGGATGATGAGCCTCTTGTTCTCAAACCTTGAGGTGAGCAGATCCCAGAATGGTTGAAGAGAATCTCCGGTGAGAGGTAAACCTCGAATGAGCTGCTCCGCAGTGCCCTGCACACAGCCTCTGAGATAATGAAGTTTTTCCACATCATTGAGCTTTGAGTGCTGCAAAATTACAGAGGAGAAAAGATCACGGAAGGCGGGCCACATTGAGTAATCACCATTAAATTTAGGCAACTTAATGTCTGGCAAACGTGAGTGGACCGGCCTTTCCGGATCAGGAGAGGCTGCACGCGGTGAAGATGGTGTAAGTCGTTGTTTGACCTTGTTGAGCAGTAGCTTAGCTGAGATCACGAGATGAGCTTCCCTTTCATAGATGTTGTCCGCAAAATACTCGTGATCCAAATATGCCTCAGGCCATGTTATCTCAAAATAAGCGTGCTCCTTCAAGAACGCCTTGTGTAGCTCCTCCAATTGAGACAGCGCTGCTTTGACCTCCCCTAGTGATGTGCTCTCGGGGTCAACAACCTTCGCGTCTACAATGAGTTTATATAGTAGCAATAGTATTAACACGACTCATTTGTGATCTCACCTTGAGTGTGAGCTCGGTGGAGAGACGAGCTGGAGAAGTCTGACGTGAGCTGCGTCCTTGAGTGTTGCCAGAAGGTGTCCCCTTGGGGGCGGTCTGTTGACCAGGCACATTGAGAGTGAGGGGAGATTGCCGACCCGAGGTAGTCTTTTCCTCAGCATCTGCTTTGGCGGCCTTCTCTGCTTCAGGCATGATGAACGGAACACGGTGATCACTCTACACCATACGATGAGCACCACTGAGCAGCACGAGCCACCGAACAGACTGAGAGCCGATATCGTTGGTTCGCCACGAAAAGAGCGGAGTTTAAAGTCACAGTTACAGCTGCTCGATTTGAATTACTTGAAGAATGTCACTTCGTTACTGCGTGATCACGTCGCGACAACACTGAGATGGCAGCGAGTGATCACAGAGCGGTAGCGTGTCCTTGTCACGAATGGCGCGCGTGATCACAAAGAGACGCACTGAATTTATGCCGTACGCGAAATGAGAAAAGAGCAAGTGCTCGCAAACGAATATTGAGTGTCACGTCACCACGATGCATCCGGCTCGAAGGACCAAATGTTTGGGAAATTTCCTCACTTTCGAATCTCGTCATGAGATCGAGAGATCGCGAAATCTCCGTGAGCGCTACGAGTGGATCGGGGGGTGAGAAAGGACGTGCAACGTGGCGAGAATGACTACTATTCCGTTTCTTAAAAATGAGTCGACTGTTTAATCTTATGTGCACTATATACAATTGAGAGTTACTTGGTGTAGAATGTGGGTGAGCGAGTCCGTCGAGCTCTCTTGTTCGCACAAGACCGTCGGGGGTGTGCCGCCCGTTGAGCCGGTGGCCGGCTACAAGCAAGCGTGCACGTACAAAGTGAGAGGCCTTTGCGCAGAACACCGACGCACTCGATTTGAGCACTTAACTAATGAGTCTGTCCCTGAGTGAGCACTAATTGTCAATGTGAGCTAACCCGTGAGCGCGAGCGCGATACTTTTCGTCAGCCGATGCGAACTTTACCACAGCTTACAACGACGACTTTCTCACGACGACTGATGCTCTCTGAGCTTGCGCGCAAGCCCGGGAGCCGATTCCACGTGCCCGTCACGCGCTTGTTACACGGTCGCGCGGTCGCGCACGCGGTCCCACCGGGCCTTACGAATCACCGTGAGATGGCGAGAGCAGTACAAATGAGATACCTGGAGGAATCTCAAACAGTGGGTTTTCCGAAGGTTTACCAAAGCTTGTTCCAAACAACCAAAATGCGTATCTGCAACAACATTGTTCGGTTCTTTTACTTCCCCGCGTGCCAGGTGCCCATTCGAGGTTTCCCTAACAGCGAGGGGACCCTGTTAAATTGCCGGTAGCAATGAGAGGTGGAAAAATTGTCGTGATTTGCCTGGATGAGTCCCCCTTTTTTGTGGGGTCTGACTCGGGGAGCGGAGACGGCGGCGAAAAAGAAACAACAAAACAAAAAGGAACTACGAGGTGTAAGGAAAACAGAAAAAGCGAAGAAGGCGTGAGTAATTCAGATAGGACCCGGGTGCTTAATGCCGGGCTGGTGGAACGGTTCCAACGAAGAACACCCCGTAAAAGAGCGCGCATTCGAAGGTGGAGGAATCTCGGAAGAACGCCCGGCAGCGAGCGCGCATCCGAAAGGGTGGAGGAAATTTTGGAAGAACGCCCCGTAAAGAGCGCGCATCCAAGGCGGCAGAAGGATCAGAAGAACGCCCGGCAGCGAGCGCGCATCTGAAAGGGTGGAGGAAATTTTGGAAGAACGCCCCGTAAAGAGCGCGCATCCAAGGCGGCAGAAGGATCAGAAGAACGCCCGGCAGCGAGCGCGCATCTGAAAGGGTGGAGGTTCGCAGTTTTTCGTCGCCGAAGGAGGCAGGGTCGGAGTATTGTTACCGAGCAACAGAGTATTCCGCGTAAAAGTAATTAATTGTTACCCCGAAGGGAGCAGGATATTAACTTATGGTTAGTTGTCACTGTGTTATTTCACTTACGTTCACTCCGGACGTCGCAACCTTATTCACGCTTTCTTATTCCGTTTTCTCTTTACTGGTAGAGATTGATTTCGCCGGTTTATCGTCGGGCAGAGCTTTACCTTCCTTTACTTAATTTCCCTTTTATCCTATTGAGGCTTGGCTGTCGGACAGAGCTTCGTCTCATCGGAACATTGGAAAACGTACTGCGAATTCGGGCTCCGATGGCCCGCTTATATACTGTTAGGTTGTAGGGCAAGTGCGGAAGTGGTGATGAGCGGGGGCCCTTCGAAAATTTCCCTTAATGTGCTAATTATTGCACCTTCCGGTGCTCCAAACAATTTGAGCTTTGGTCACCTTGGCAAAGGGCCTCCGTTCATCATTATGCCGTTTATCAAATCTTAAATTTGCCGCGCGCCGCCGAGTAATTAATCCGCATACCGATCCCTTGTTTTTCTCCCTAGAGTTCCGCTATATCGCGTCGAGTCACGTAAACATCGAACCTTCTAGAAGCTTCGCCGGTATTTCGATAAATGGTATATTTCTCTTATTTTCAGCGGTTGTTAATGGCCCTGTTGCCATCGTGGCTAGCGGTGGAGGCGCATAGCGCCCCCATACGCTGCTGTGATCAACGGTTCCCGCGGAGTTCATTCTTTCCACGGAAATCGTCGATGTTAGCTTATTGTTTGTTTAATTGCGTTATTATTAATTTCTTATTAATTTTGGGCGAAAGCGGAGGCGCCAAGGATTCGTCTGTTATAGTGGCTGCCTCGGCTATCGTCAATTAATCGCTTAATTCTACCGTTAAACTTGGAAAAGAAGGAGAGCGAATATCTGCTAATCACGTGTTGCGCGCGTGCTAACAGCCGCGCCGCGCCAGTGATACCTATCGGGTGGGCAATTACTACTGTTACTAAACACGTCCGCGAAAAAATGTTCGCTGGACGTGACATATGGATGTTTCAAATTTATAAATATTCTTAAAAATTAATGCTTCATGCTGATCAAAATTATTGCATTATTTAATTAAAGATTAATTCAGATCTTGTTTCAATTCTTATTCGTCTTCGATCAATTTATCATATATAATACATGTGCGAACAAATTTAATATATCGTAAAGTGAAAAGGTAATGCAATAATTTTATTTATTATTTCTAAAATTTTCATTGCTCCGATTTTGTCTAGTTCTGTTTCTTCAATGCATTGAATTTATTTACATAGTCATTAACGATTGAATAACCTTTAGGCCCGGTCTACAATGAGTTGTTAGTCGTTAGTCAGAAGTCGGAACTATACAGGGTGAGTCAGTATAACCTTTTACCATTGAAAATAT